CCACCTGTCTCATCGGGAGCATTTCTTCCTCATTTTCTCTCACCAGTGAGGAAAAACAGTTCTCAGAAACAAGCGTGTGGGGCCCACATTAGGTGAGCTGCTCCGAGCTCAACTTGGCAGACTGCCCAGCCCAGACCAGGGTCTCTTACTGCACCATCCCAACATTTTCTACCAGAGAGAACTGTCAGCTACTGCTAAATTAAAAGCTCTTTTCCTACTCAAATCTTGCCTTTTCATACATCTTAGGTCAACTATGAAAACTCACCTTAGGATGTCCCCCTTGTTGAGATTGAGCAGAACATTGTAGCCCTGGAACTCTGCTTCACTGGCACAGAAGACACCCCTGTTTCTCAGGTCCTGGTACATCTCCTTCAGACTCTGCAGGCACTTGGTCATGTTCTCATTGTTGATCTTGGCATCAAAGGAGGACATGGGCTCCTCACACATGAAGTGGGTACAGTGGATGTGAAATCGGGTACACTTCTCGATCAGGGACACCGTCAGGGGGTCGCAGAGGTGCTGCTGTGTGATGTCCTAACCACGGGCAATAGGCAGAATTACACACACACACGTGCATCACACACTCTCACATGCTATTCTTACGCACAGAGTCAACTATGAGAAAAATCATGCTTACTACCTGAATGTGCCCATGAGGCACATTCTAACAGGACTTTGTAACAGTTTAAATAAAAGTATATTTTTGTTACAGATGAAGTATAACTGAGTAAAATGAAAAGAACTATCAGTCTAACTTTGGAATTGACATGTGTTTTCTAGTTGCCTGATCAGAGGCGGCTAATACCTTCCGTATGCCCCGTGTGCGATTCCACACGAAGTCGTACCAGTCCCTCAGGCTGCCCTCCTTCTGGTCCATGATCTGGGTCACCAGGTAGTCCATGGTCCTGCAGAGCACTGCAGAGGGCCGCAGCTCGTGCGGCAGGGGCTCCTCCTGATCAGCCGAGGACCGGCTGTACTCCTTTACAGCCGCTGCGTGGTCCACCTGGGGACGTGGAGCAGGGACAAACTGCTTGTATGGCAGGTGCTGGGCCAGTCTTCTGGCACAGGTATGCCTTAAATGAGGGGGGACATCACACACACACTTACACAAGATCAATACTTGAGAATACATTTTTTAAATGAAAAATTTCTGTTAAAAGGTAACAATCAAAGACAAAATAAATGGAAACTTGATTCCAGCAAACATGACAAGGAGTTATAGGAAGAGGGTGTGACAAGAAGCAGTAGAAGGAATGTAGTGAAGACATACTGCCCAGCTCCTAAGCACAAAGAAGTGACAGGAAAGGACTTTAAAGCATCTTAAAAGGTCTAAGATGAGCAGTAAGGACTAGTGGGGCATAGCAGCAAAGCCGGGTGGGGCAGGGATCAGCTGCCCACAAGACACCAGGAGCCACATGTTCCACCTGCAAAAAGAGGCTAAAGACACACGGCTGAGGAGAGAAGCAGAGATGTTTACAGGACTGGGTCCTGGGCATCTGCTGTCTCCTGGGGCACGGGCCTTGGGCCTTGACAGTGATACCAGCTGCTAGGCTGGGGACCCTGCATCAGGCGAAGGCGGCTATAAAATCACCCACCAGCCAGGTAGAGGAGGAGAAACCCACAAGCGAAATTAACAAAGAGCAAAAGTATCTCCATTGGTGCAGATTCCTGGGGAAATAATTTGAGAGCATGCATTGACACATGTTCAAGGTAGGTCACACCCTCTGAGGTAGTAATTTAATTCTTAGGATCTATCCAAAGAAAATAATCTAATTACCATAGAAGCATTACACACAAAATGCTAAACAATATTGTCATTAAAACTGAAAAATGAGGGGCCGGCCCGGTGGCGCACTGCTACAGTGTGCCACTTGGGAGTGCGGTGGTGCTCCCGCCGAGGGTTCGG